AAAAAAACTAATACTGACTGCATAAGAGGGATTTCTTTAGGTTTTTTCCTTACTTCCAGGGATTTGAAGTCGCCCAAGAGGTGCTTTACCAATTAACTATATGTTGAAATTGCCTGTAAACTAGCAATATACAAATAAAAATATGCAGTTCCCTTGTCAGTTATTTCAGATAGAAGAGTCTCCTTCACTAAGATAGATACTAAAAGCTTCGTAGTCTCAAATAACTTGAAATTTGAAAACAATTTTAGAGTTCACTAAACGCTTTTTGGCTGACGTGTGTACGAAAAAGGGAGAGAGAAGTCGGTTTCAACTATTCGAACCCACAGGACTTGATAGTTGCTTCGCTGAAACCTATTCGATTAAGACTGTGTGGCTGTCTAGCCAGGTGGCTCAGAGTTCAGGCAGTATTATATCGTATGACTGCCATTATGCAGGTATAATTGCTCCTGGATGACCTTAACTAACTCAAAGCTAGGCGCCGCCCAGCCGCCACAGCCTGACAACCATCTCGAATAGTGTGCTAAACCAAGTGAGAATATCCGGTGTTTTGTGTCTCGCACGCGTCATGTATGTGTTCTCCCCTTCTTTTTCTCCCTCCTTATTTCGCCTTCCGCCCAAAAGTCCTTAATAGATGGTGACAAGCTGACCCACAATCAGTCCAGGCTAACTCGGCTCGCTCTTCTACTTAAAGACCGTTATCCATAGCCTGACACATAGTCTGTCTAAGAAGCCTTGTTTAGAGACAACATTAATTACCTGCTCGTGAAGGAAAGGACTAGAAATGTGTCCTAACCAAAAGCTGTAGCTCGAAGATGCAGTATTCGCGGTCGAAACTATCAAATAAACACCAACCCCTATGCGTTTACCCCCTGCTATATCCTGGGAGATATTCTGGTGATCCTGCAGTTCAACTCGGATACATGGAAGGACCTTGCCTAAGATAGAACAGCCTGTGTTCAAGCATTGAACACTGGCGCAATAATCCACGAAGCCAACAAGATCGTCGCTAACAAATCCAAGAAGACGGTTCGCAAGTCACAAGCGTCTTCGATTCACCACACGAACAACCAACCCCTTCCAATATATTCACACTGTCAACGAATATTCCACGCTCAAAATGGACTCCTTGGACATCCGCGGGCGCAATGCAACAACAACCCGACAACCTCAATTGTCCGTTGTCTCGTAAACGAGTAATCCTTGATACAATCCTGAACTTAAGATAAAAATATCTGCTTGTATGCGACAAATTTCGGTAAGCGAACGCCCAATATAAATCTGGCAGTGGACGCTTCGTGTCAGGAAACTAGTAGTATAACAACCGCATGATTGAAAAGGGGTGGACAACTCTACAATGAATACTAAACCGCTTAGCTTTCATTAAGTGCGCTGGGAAATCTTCCCACAAGAAGACGACTCCTACGTGATAGGTTTTCATTAGCGAGGTAACTCAGATTGGATTGTCCGGTACCTGTACTTTCCTCCTTCCATTTGCCTCAATCCCCATCTCACATAAATCGTTCTAACAGATGAGATTCCGGAGTAATTTCGGCCAAACTGTTGCGTTACTGTTGGCGATGTCGTGAGGATGGTGATTAATCCCTACTGGAGAATACAATCCCCTTTTCATCTGATGGGGAAAAGGCAAGGAATCGTGGTAAAAATGTGTTTTTCGTCTTATTTTCGTTTTAGTTCGAATAAAATATGACGCCCGCTATAAAGCAAACACTGCCGAAAAGTCTATGTACAGCCTATGAACGATCAAGAGATACTTCCATTATTTTGGCGAAGGATTATTCGGTCGCCCATTGGCAACATTTGGCTGATCGGTGCCAGAATATTGCCGCCAGGCGTGGCGCCCCTAGATGAAGCAAGATTACACTGCTGAATAAAGTTCAGTGAATGATGATCAAACTAGTGTAGTGGTCTCTAGCGTTACTTGGAATCCATGATCAGTGGCCACCGCTGCTGCTGGTGTCGTGCCTCAGACCATGTGCAAAAGTGCGCACCCTGCCTCTCCGTCCTGGCCACAACCCTTTCTGGCTCGACCTCAAATTGCCCAACAAGATGCCCACGTTAGTATACTAGCCTCATTAGAAGGTTGGCCTCAACCTATCTGGGCAGAC